TCCACGTCGCAGGTGATTTATACAATGGTCCTATAACGAATAGTGCGGTTGGTGGCCGAGGGAATTCAGTAAACATCGACAACACTGCATCGGAGCGCATTATAAAGGGTAGGGTCGTAGTTTTTTCGCGAAACACACAATCCCTACTAATTCGCTCCTACGATCGGTAAGAAATTCGAACAATTGCTGCCTTGATAACCAAGCAAAAACTTGAAAGTAGCGGTCAAGAGACTCAGGCCGCAAACGAACCAAATGCGTCCCAGAAGTTGATGTCACATTTTCGAAGATGGCTCGACGAAGACGAGGCCACTCTTTCCTTGACAAAAGAAGTACCTGGCACCCTTTCCCTGTCAGAAATGCGTGGGTTATCACTTCATTCACGTTGTGACGGCTTTATGTATGTGTATACTTAATCCTGTTTGCTAGCTCCTGCTCAAGGCGCTATAAAACGTCTGAAAGACCATCTTATCCCCTCTGCGGCCTCAGCAGAGTCCAAAGTATTCAACCTCAAAATGTAAATGTGATTGCCCATTCCTAAACGTCCACTGCTTGAACTGCTCTTTAGGTTGGGCGATTGTTACCGATACAAGATTCAGTGGATTGAATTGACTGACGCTGAAGTCGAAGAAATTGCCGATAAGTCGTGGCGGGCATATGATGAAGCCTCACAAATTGCTGTCCGGGAACTATCCCCTATAAATCCTATCCGTCTTGGTCTGGCCATTGGCTTCTCTTTGTTGTACAAAGATATTTTCAACAGTCCAGAACGTGCACTCAACATTATCCACCATGCTTGGACTGATGGTTCTGCCGAAATTGGCACTATAACGCAAGAAATGTACAAGGATTTCAACAGAAATGCTGCAACGTGTCTGCAACAATCTGACGCTCTGGGTCCAGTGACTTATCTCAGTCATCCGAAAATTATCATGGTTGGTGTTACCCTTGTGCTATCGAGATGCAACCAATTCCTGACGTCTTCTTCAGCCGAGAATGATAACGAGGGTGATGACTCTTGAGAGAGAAGTCAAATGAGCAACCACCTCTTCAGATCCTGTATAGTATTCATAGCCCCGTTCTTTGCGTTGAAATTTCTTAATGATAGCGCCAAAATTCTTACAGTCGGATTCACCATGCTGACACCTTAAGCAAAAATCAGACACTGTACAGGACTTTGGTTAAATGTTCCCACCATAACTCGTCCAATGTCACCGTGGGCGTAGCAATTATAGACTGTTCTGACAGTCTTGAGACCCAACTGTTATAGCCATGTCAAAGTTCATATGGTCAATTAATCCCTTCAAAATCCGTCGTCTTTGAGGTGAGAATTGTTCCTGGAATATAACATGATCTGTAGGACTAGTTGTGGATAGTATGTAAGGCGATCGTTCTGGGTGCCGCTGAGGTTGAAAGTAAATATCCTCCAAAAGGAAATCCAATAACCATGTAAGGAAGTCCGAAATTTAGTTGGTTAGCCGATGTCAGATTTTGTTGGTGAACGGTATACGATGTTGTGATATTGCCCACTTCAGTGTTCATATGGGTGGGTATACAAAAGTTAAAGAACAGAAACGAGTGATGGAGTGTTGATGATTTGAGAAGGAAAACCTAAAGATGTGCTTGTCATATTATGCAGAACTGGATATCAAACCTATGTCAGCCATAGCGGTGCTGTGATACATAAAATAAAAAGAAGATAGAGGTAACATAAAGAAAAAGAAAGTCTGACTGGGTCCCTGTCTGCTGTCTACGCATAAATAAACAGGGGCATCTACGGTCTAGGTTTTGTCGAAGGGTTTATCGAGGTGGCAAGCCTGTGAAGTAACAATCATGGGGGTGTAAGATTTCCGTGATTAGCACGAGACGTAGGCGAATAGAGAGCGCCGGTCATGACGTACTTCAGTTTGATACCGATGGACCTGGAAGTTAGGTAGACAGGATCGTGAGTGAACATTCTCCGATAATGAAATAGAAAATGAGAAGGAAAGATAAGGGAAATTAAGGAGAAGATATGAGCTGATATCGACTCACTTCAGTAAATGGATATCAACCCTGAAGTGTTTCCACCCAGGTTTCTCGATTTTGATACGTCGGTTACGTTTTGCGTTCTCGGAATCTCCGAGTGATGCATGAGAAGCTGTCAGCGCTTTTCCTTTCTTTTCAGTAGACGGAGAACGTTTAGAAGAGGTGTCAGTTTGTTCTACATCGTCGGCAGATTGATGAGAACTAGGGAATCACAATCAACAAGGCAAAAAAACCGAAGTCGCTCACCTAGGTAAATTGAGTGCTCGTCCCACGCAATGACAGTAGCGCCGCCTCGCAGAGGGGAAGGCCTCCTCTCTCCACTTCCCGCCGCATACCAGTACGGCTTCGGGCTGCGTGATCCTGATCGCGGGTGACTCCGCCGCCGCTTCCGCTCATCAAACACGTGTGGTGCGATCCCTTTCACCACCTCATGCGACGTAGGCCTGAAGTTTGCAATCGCCTCCGCAGTCGTTGCGTAGCCCTTAGTAGTTGGCTGGGACGATGACGATGACGATGACGAGCCAGCTTCGGCAGTGGTGATGATGGTATTTGGTTGCGTTTCAGCGCTCGGCTCGGGGGTGCTGTTCTCTTCAACATCCTTCGACTCTGCTACCTCGCCATCCGTAAGTGCGCTGGCCGGTGTTGAGATTGGGGTTGAGGTCAGGTCCGCAGCGCTATCCAGTACGTCAGACATCCGTCTGATAAGCAAGCCCAGCTGAGGCGATAAGTGATGACGGGAGAAGGGAGCAACGAGGACACAAGGCGGGCAAGGTCTTTTGTTGTATGTGTACAAGATTAAGGCTAGTTGGCGGCGCTAGCAAGGGATTTCTCGATCAGGGACTATTGTTATCGATTTCATAAGGGTGACGGAGGCGTTCCAAGCAGTGTCCGCCCTGTTGCGGCATGGCAGGTAAGCCGCCAGACTCACAGCATTTTTTGTGCTATTATTAGGCCACTATGAATTAGCCTATTGTATTTCAATCAATTTCGGGTCAGAAAAAAAATAAAAAGGGGCATCTTACACCGCCAAGGACATGTCATCACCATCAAAACATCAATGGTGTACCACATCTTGCCAATGGTTTGAGGGAGAGCGCCGACCCGTCTTATACAGATTTGAACAAGCAGCCCATATCGCAAAGATCAGACGTTAAAGGGAACACCTCTTCATATCAGCATTCTCGATGCCGCATGCCAGCGTCGTGGCAACCGATACTAGTCACCCTCAATGCGATCAGTACGGCTAAGTAAGACAAGGTGAATCGAAGAAGCAGATGACGCACATATCCTGTTGAAGAGTCGCTCTGCACGATAACTGACAATTTTGAATGGCAGATAGCACTAATATGAGCAGGGATATCAAAAGCCTAGGGTTCGGCACCGTCCTATCCTCGATTTTGTGCGTCGAAACACGTTGTCATGTCTCAACACAACAAATATAATTACTCCGCCAAGAACGATGTTGCACATTGGCAGGTGAAATCTGGGTAAATGATTCATCTTGTCTGGACATTGGAGACCAGGTAACTCAGTATGATTACAATTCAGAGGTATGAAATACAACACGATGATGGGACGACGAGGAAACAAGGGAGGACAATGAAAATGACAAACTTTCAGAATTTGTTCCGTTTTCTAGCAGTTTTCGCCATATCCTGCGAGGCCCTTGAAAGAGAAGAGGTAAGGACGAGACGATGTCGCTGATGAAGCAGAAGATACTTACTTCCGATTCTTGTTTTTATTTTCTGGTTCATCGACATCCATCATGTTCTCTCGATCATTCACCTGGAAAGCAGCCCGCCTGCTAGCCATACCGCCACCCATACTTTTTTCTTTCTGCCTCTCGTGAACGTCCTTGAGAGTATTCTGAAGAATCTTCTCGTGTTCTTGTTCGTTAAGCTTGGCCGCTGCCGTATCAGCCGCAATGGCATTGATCTTCGCATCTAGAGTGGCCAGGACGGCGGAAGTTGTGGATGCCCTAGGTTTCTTATCAGACTAGAAGAATGCTGAAGCGAGTGACGTTACACACCAATCCTTTAATGCCGCCAGGACTTGCTCCAGTTTACCTGGCTCAAGGTCTCGCCCCATCGTGTAAGATACCTCCAGCTGCTCCTCTTTTTGATCAAGCTTCCCTTGCAGAAGGTCAAGATAAATGGCGTCGATGATAAGATCCTCTAACTCTCGCACGTTCGAGACATCGAGGGCCCTCAAAAGTTCTGCATATGGAAGAATCTATATGACTGATAAGAAATAATACAGAGCATGATATGAGTAGTAGCTTACTCGTCGATCCGTAGCTAACGATACAATCGTCAAGTGCTTGAGTTTCGTAATCTGCACCTGGTTCAAAGGAGGCAAGCTATCCTTGTGCTCTGCTTCCGTGAGATAGAGCGGATACGAGATTCATAAAGAGACGTACGAAGATAATCCTGGTATGTCTTATAAGCGAAAAGCTTTAATAGGGAGAGGAACTTCTCCTGTTGTTCGCTTTTCCCAAGCTAATTGGTTGATATTTCAAACCAACCCATAATTAAATACAAATGCAGCATACCTCTTGAATGTTGGGCAATTCTAGTAATTCTGAAAATACGAATACGCCCGGCGCAGATGTGGCGTCCTGGATGAGTTTAGCAGCAGCAGCGCCCTTTACAGACTTGGCCATGAGTAAGAAAGGCTCGAGCTTCGCGGACGAATTAGCGAGATCCATGCTTAAAGTTGATGATATAGTCGAAGTCAGAAAGTGGAAATCAATTGAAAGTGGTTGAACACAAGATGACAGTCCTCGCTGTGACGGACGACGACAATGAGCCGTCACCCTTGGTCACAAACATGTAACAAAAGGTCTCCCAGACTCAACCAGTCAAGTGGATTTATCTACAAAAATTACGTTACTAATGACCAGATGCAAATGAAAAAGTACATACACGGACGGAAGAGGCTGGATAGAACGTTCAAGTACATGCTTTGACCAAAAAGGGCCTCACTGGGAATTGAACCCAGGACCTCCTCCAATCAGGTGCCTAAACCCAAAGGAGGAATCATGCTACTAGACCATAAGGCCGATATGGGTGGGTCAGTTAACTTATGTTATAACATCAGCATAACAGGTGTAAGGAAAGAGTCTAGACTGGCACACAACAGAAAATCATTACAGTTAATAGTAAATTGACAGAGCAGTTCAGTCCCCTTCTCCCTCAGAGGCTTCGAGCAAAGTTTACTAATATAACCAATAAATTTGCAGGATTTAGAATCCCATGAGTTTCGTCTAGCCTTGCCTGGTTATGCTTGGAACAAAGCAAGAAATGCGAATAGCTATATCGCCATGCAATTGGGTGTAATAGTACTTCCACGCTATCGGTCCGTCTGTAGCATAATAAGCATCATTCACATAAACACGGTACAGTATCGTATCTAGTAAATATTTGTTGGGCGGTCACCCACAGGAGCCAAGGTAAAGAGGTTAAATTTCAACCAAAAATACCATTGATGAGACGATCTTTCCATTTGCTACCAAAACCAGGCACTACGTCACTTTTCTCTATTTTTCTTTGGACGACCAGGCTCGGAACAATGGAAAAGCTGTTCAGTCGTCTGCTTTCAATTAGCCATGAAAATGCTTGATCTATAGCCCGTGAATATGCGAAGGGCGGATAACGAAGGTGTAGGAGAAGACGACGGGCGCCAATGCGTGAAAGGGCGTAGGCGTGCGTGCATTTGGGACTGCTGGAAGTATACAATTGAGGATAGGGCGGTACTTCAATAGATGTATTCTGCATCAGCAGCCGACCTTTCCGCTCGTCTGACCAACAATGCCCTAGATAAGAGTTAATTTAGAACCCACCATATCTCATACAGAGGAAGTAATATGCACCTAAGAATATAATATCCCACCTAGGAGGTAGGAGCGGCCATAGACTGCGCAATTGCTTCACGATATCTTTCTCCATATCTACATCATCCTCCAGGATAAGAGCAGCACCGGGGTTGTCGGATTTCAGGCTGTTGGCTATTTTATGGATGACATACAGGTGTGAATGCCAGCAAGCGACGCGAGCGGGGGTGAGAACAAGGTGCTCCGGGAGTGCAGATGAGAGAGTTGCTATCCTGTAATCTTTGGTAGCACATGCCAGAGGCGGGCTTGGCGTAATGGACGAGTTGCCGAAGGGCACCTTAGAGATGTTGAGATCTGAACTCCAGATGTCTAGCCCTTGAAAAGAAATAGCCAGTTCGTCGATGTTCTTAGGCCAAAACAGAGATACAGTTCGATTGTTGAGAAACTCTGAAGTATTTCGATGCTCGCTCTTGAAGAACATAGAGTAATTGTCGCGTACAAATGAAACCAAATTCATGATACGTTCCACCAAGGGAACGTCCGCGGGAAAAGCATCGACATAGGACCAGTTCAAGCCGAGGGCAAGGCGAAGCTTTTCCATAGCTTCTCGCCTGGACCGACGTTCAGGAAGTGATAATACGTATATTTGCTCTATAAAGTCGAGAGGATTCACAGGTGATTTGACTTCCAGAAAATGGAGGGACTCCAGCTGCTGCGACGCCTTGAGGAGAATCGTATCGAGATATAAGCACAAAACTGTCGATAATATCATGCATAACAGCATCACGATGGATATGAATTTTTGAGAACGGAGTGACCTCAGAGTGTATGGCATGCTTAGCCTAATCTTCATCTCCACTACCCAGGTCTGTATTAGTTGCTGAGCGTTGGACGTTTAAAGTTTAAACTTGGGAAGTTGGACCAGTGGAAGAGGAAATGCACGTGAAACTCCTGCGAATTTTTGAGACGGAGCTACAAATTTCCAGCGAGTCAACTTCGCCGACTCCGAGCCTTCTCTGCTAGATTACGAACTTTCGGCGACTGGCTGACCCCGCGCATTCTTTGACTTCCATACACAAATCAACAGAAGGACGGATATTACACATTACGTCCTTCATACAACATTTCGACAATTGCGGTGCTACCATGGTGTGAAATCCTACTGTTTTTTGTCCCGTCTATTTCTGCACGGCTGATTTCGAAGTTAGAAACAACGATAACCTGTCCAGGTCACAAGTGTTTCTCTTTATTTGCTAACTGTAGTCTTAGCCTAGAGTTACTGCTCCCACAGTCGCAGACGTCTTGAATACCTTGGTTTGGCACCACCAAGGCTATTGTCGAGAGATGCAACTATTGGGCTGCCATGCACATGTATCTGGTGAAAATATAAATGGATATCATGGAGACCACCCATTATCCTAACGATATTATGGTCCAGTCTAATCCGCGAAGACTGGACTATCGTAATCCACCTTTGACTGGAGTTTGCTTCTCCATTTAATACAGTTCGGTTAGTCGCAATAGGGTTACATCTACTCTTCCTCGTGAATTCTTCTAATGCCGGATTATGTACTAGCCATTTCTTCCCATGGGGCCCAGTCGGACGCATGGAAATTATGAACACTGCTGTCGACATAATGACTGGCTGCTGCGCAGTGTCACGACTCAGGAACTTAAGACACTCCACGCCCTGAAGGTCAGAGAAAATATTGCATAATTCGCGAAATTGAATGAATTTAATTTCTAGCGATGGCGATCTACGCCGTGTCCCCAGGTTTATGGATGTTCGGAGAATCTGTGGTGTTCTCGACTCAAAGATTCTAATCGGCTGGCAAGCCATCTATTTTAGACCGTACTACTAGTCGCACGAAAAATCAAGTGATGTCATAGCAAACAACATCCGGGGACGATTTATCCAGCTCGTAAGTTGTTTATTTCCATCGTGATGCTCCCCTGTTCATTGAATCGTACATAGAGTGTTAGGGCTGTCCTCTGATTGGTTAGAGCTACTTCGGGAAAGACAGGTTCTTATGAACGTTAATTGTTATATCAAGCGGTCGACGACCTCGCAGGAATTTTCGAATCTTTCCGAGCAAGATTGCGTGGGCAACTTCGCAGTAAAAATAATCGTGTCGGGCAATCTCTACGGCTTCGTGGGTCGCATATGTATTGAAGTCTGGCCGATTTGCAATGCACCGAATCGGGTTCAGAATTCCCCTGAGCTGGCCGTGGCATTTTCCTGCATCCCGTCTCCATTCGTATCTGGTGGCTGCAGTCAATACTGGGAAAACAGTTCTCAGACAATTTTAGGTATTCCTCAGGCCGATATTTCTACTTGTCGAGATGGCGTTGAGCATGTGCATCCGCTGTCTTATCGTGGACACGCATTTAGATTCCGGTTGGCCGGTCGTGGATTCCGTTGTGTGCTAGTTTATAAGGTATTCCCTCTCAAGAAACGTTTCTTTCTTCTGCGTGGAACCTCTCCCCTCCACTCACTCTAGCAATGAGTCAGGCGGCCCCTCAATATTCGCCCCCGTCTCCCACACAGGAGTCCGACATCGAGAAGGGCGTCGAACATGACACGAAAGTCCTCGATGGTATGCCCTGTTGTTGTCGGCCTTGTGGTTTCCGCTCATAGGATGATTATTACTTTAGAATCTCATATTGCAGTATGTATTGCAATGTAATTTGTACAACTTCGCTGCTAAGCGCCAGCATATAGGAGTTGACTGGAGCTGTGTTCGAAGACCCCAATTTGGACAAGGAGAATATAATCGCATTCGACGATGAAAGTCCTTATCCCGAAGTTCGATCTGCAGTCGCGAATACGGATGACCCGAGCATGCCCGTAACGACCTTCCGCACTTGGGTCATTGGTCTTGCATGGGCGATCGTAATTCCAGGACTCAATCAATTCTTCTTCTTCCGCTTCCCTTCCGTCACCATCGGTGGTATCGTAGCCCAGCTTCTATCCTTCCCCATGGGGAGAGCTGCCGCTGCATGGCTTCCCAATTGGACTATCTTTGGGGTCAAGATCAACCCTGGACCATTTACCGTGAAGGAACATGTGCTCATTACTGTACGCTCAGCATCCCTTCAGATTTAACTTGTCATCCGCTAATGTACATTTTTCGAAACAGATCATGGTCAGTTTTCTTCTCATCGTTCAAGGTTCAGTTTACATATCATTATGCTAGGCGACTGTGGGCTCTGGTTCTGCATATGCAACGGATATTATCGCAGTGCAGAGGGTCTATTACGACCAGGTCTACAACTTCAGTTGTAAGTGCACTGCCACTCATTGGGGGTAACCGCTACTGAGGAAAATACGCCGCAAGACCAATGGTTTGTAGTCATGTCTACTCAGCTCATTGGTTATTCCATTGGTGGTATCGCCCGTCGATTCCTCGTCGACCCTCCATCTATGATTTGGCCCGCTAACCTTGTCAATTGTGCGCTTTTCAATACCTTGCACTCCCAGCAGTATGCTGGGATGGGTAATAGAGGTGGTATCAGCCGTGAAAGATTCTTCTTGTTTGGCTTCATTGGCTCTTTCACGTGGTGTAAGTTCTTGTCCTAGCCGGTCGTATATATATAATCATGCTTTCGTTTTATAGATTTCTTCCCAGGTTATATCTGTATGTATAGGTGTTGCTTCTGCCGCCATTTTCTTATTTCATTTTATATTAAGTCCAAGCCTCTCATACTTCTCTTGGGTGACATGGATTCGACCAAATGATCCCAGTGTGTTGCACTCTTCTGCCTTATAAGCCGTATACTGAAAGCAACTTAGCAATCGCCGGTCTTTTCGGGTACGCTAATTTCGCTTGTCTGTGAGAGTCTACTCAAATTTTAACATTTATCTAGCTATGTTCATGGAATGGTAACTTTATTTTGTTTTTCAGGAGCAGGGCTCACCGTCGTTGATGTGTAGGGAATGTCAATTATCACTTTCGACTGGAGTCAAATCGCGTGTGTCATCAGAATATTTATTTTTACCTCGGATCATCTTCCTCATAAAGAAACTCAATAGCTATATTGGATCTCCACTCGCCACTCCATGTATGTCAGATTGATACCCATCGATATGCGACTCTGACGCAATTGCAGGGTGGGCTGAGGCCAATATCTTTGCCGGATTCGTTTTCTTCTTCTGGTTCTTGACACCTCTTTTGCACGTGAGTCCGAGTTACTCTCCTACATTGCTCAGTCTGACGTTTCTTAAAGTA